GCGGGGCGGGCGGCCGGGGCAGCGAGCGAGCGCCAGCCCCGAGACCGCAGCCCGAAGGCAGCGCTACAAATAGCCGCGGTTTGCAGCCCGTGCCCTGCCTTCCTCCCGGCCTTCCGGACCTTTGGGATTTTCTCTCCCGTCTTCCCGCCGCCCTCTCCTCTGCCCCGTGGCCCCTGCCTCCTCCCCGCTGTGCGCCCACCACATCCTGTCCCACGCGGGGCGGCTTCTGCGCGGGGGGCGGGGGGCGGGAGTCCACGCCGAGGTCCAGGGTTCCAGAGGTCGAATAATCACAGAAAACAAGTGAGGATTAATTGAGCACCTACTATGTGCCAGGCCCTGTGCAGAGAGCTCTTTAAAACTGGGGTAATTACGAAATCTTTACCACCATCCAATGAGCAGCAGCTCCGATTTGCAGATGGAGAAACTGAGGCCCAGGGATACTTCTTAAGTCCTAAGATCACCCCGTTTGGACCAGCAAAATGGGAAGCCATCGCCTCCTCCCCCCTCCCAGGTCCATGCTGTCACTCTGCCTCCAGCCCTGTGTTGCTTGCCCTTAGAGGGTGAGGCCCTGGTGGGAGGTGGGAAGCAGCTGACTGGGGTCTGGATGCTAGTCTGCCACCAATTCTTACTGTCACCTAGAGCAAGCCCAACCTGCCTCAGTTTCCACATCTGTAAAATGAAGGAGATGAAAAGCGAAACTCTGTTCCCTGGAAAGAAGAGCTTGTGAACCACAGTGGAAAACCCAAAGTGGAATGCCCCGCCCTTGGGGAAGTTCAGTGGGAGGCCGAGTGACAGTCACCTGGAGTGTGGAGACAGACCCAGAAACCAAGGCTGGCGGGGCCAGAAGAGGGCAGAGCTGGGGGATCTGTATCTTAGCGCATGCAAGGGTTCCAAAGCCATCAGGTTTGGGATCCACCAAAGAGATTGCTGGGCGGGGCTGGGGAATGGAGGGGGTGTGTTGGGGGTGTCCTCCCCCAAACCTCCATCCTTGCCCTATTCCCTCTCTGCCTTCACTGGCCTGGACTCAGAGTGACTGCCCGTTTGTTAAGGACCCACTGTGCACCAAGCCCACTTGTATCACAACCCCACTCTCAGATAGCGGAGGCCTACCGCAGCAGACCAGCAAGGCTGTCCTCAGCCCAGCCATCCCCTCTGGGAGAGAGGGAGCAAAGCACCTTCCTCCGGGGGAGCAAACCCTCACACCAGGCTGTGAGGCTCAGTGAACAGAGCGAGGGCTGGGTTTCCCATCCACTCTCCCTCCACTCTCGCCTGCCACTCCCACACCTCCCCTGAGCTCAGCTACAAGGGATGTAAGTGGGACATACTGGGAAAGCCCAGGAAGAGGGCCAATCAATTCCAACTCCTTGCCGGAGTCAGGAATAGGCACAGAAAAACCCTACTGTGGAGGTGACCATGAAGCGGGCCCTTTAAGGATGGGTGGGAAGAGGAGGAAAAGGTGGAAAAGGAGGTCCAGGCAGAGGCAACAAGCTGAGGTCAGGGCATGGGGCAAGGAGTCTGAGCCTGTCCTGGGAGCAGGTGGTGCGGCGAGTCTGGGACCAGGGAGTGGCTTTGGGGCAGATGCGGGGGTGGGGGGGCATGTCCTTCTCTTGCTCCCATCTCTATGCCGGCACATACCAAACTGAACACAGCTTCCCTGCCGGCCAGAGGTCTCTCCTGGACTGGGGGATGTTGGATGACAGCCTCGGCGTCTTATTCATCCTCTGTGGCCCAGTGCTTCACCCGGACAATAATAGTAACAGTAATAACAGTTAACGGTGTGAAATATTTACCACCTCGCTCTGTGCTAAGTGCGGCACACGCATGATCTCATTTATCCTCCAACAACTTTGGAAATAAGTGCTGTTGTTAATCTCATTTTACAGATGAGGATTCTAAGGTTTAGGGGGGTTAGGTAATGTGTCAAGGTCACACAGCTATTTAGTGGTGGAGCTAGGACTGGAATTCAGGTCTCTGACCACAGGGCCCTTGTTCTACACTGACAGATGGACGGATGGATGGATAGTTGCAAGGATGGATGGATGGATGGATGGATGGATGGATGGATGGATGGATGGGAGACAGGGAAGAACTAAGTGGAGAAGGGCCTTGAATGCCATGCTAGGGAGCCCGAACATTATACCAAGGGCCATGGGAACACATTGGAAGGCTGTAAGCTGGGGAGAGACTTGTCGGGTTAAGGCTCTAGAAAGATCACTTTGACAGCAGTGGGAAGTAGTTTAGAGCTGATGACACTTGAGCAGGAGGCCATTTTTCTGGTAAATCCCAATTCTTCCCTCCGAGGAGCTTTACTCCTTTAAGCGCTATGTTATTTCTCTTAGGGCAAGATGTGCGTTTTTGTATACACATGGGGACCTTAGATGGAGGAGAACGTCAGGAAGGGGGGGCGCAGTGATGGGGAGACAAGTGGTCAAGCACTGAGTTCTGGAGAAGAGGCCTCTCTTACAGGGGAGCAGAGCACCGGGAAGGGAGGAGACACACACTCTCCCTCCCCATGTCCAGGATGACAAGGCCCCCTTGGGCTTCCCGCCAGGCCCCCACACAGTGCCCCATTGTGCACCTGCCACCGAGGGAATGCAGCCAAAAGGTGAGGCCCGTGTTGCATCAGAGTGCTAAGCCCGGGGATCAAGTGCTGGGACGGCAGTGGGAGAGGTCTGGTCCCTCCTCTGGTATCATTGGCCTTTCCAGCCAGCCAAAGAGGGAGGGCAGGGAGTCACAGGAAGTGGCCCCAGGGGCCAGATAAGCCGAAGAAGGGAAAGCAGGGTAGCTGGAAGGACAGAGAAGAGGTGGAGCTTTCCCCCCACCCCCACCGCCCAAACACACAAGAAAGGAGCCAGAGAGAGGCCCCAGCCGTGTTGGAGACAGCATCTTCAGGCTGCGAGAGGCCCCCAGAAGGTTCCAGGACAGAGCAGTACTCGCGATGCTGCCCTGCCTCCCCATGCTTCTCCTGATGGGGCTGTCTGCAGGCACTGTGACAGCTGACGAGGGACTGGCACTCGGAGCAGAAGCAGGGTCCTGGATAACCTTGACCCTGGAGGTACCGTGGGGTGAGGCATGGGCTGGTCTGCTGTGGAGGGGGTAGGAGATCGCTTCCACGGCTGCCCGGACAGAAGGTTGTACATTGTTAGCCATGCTGTCTGGCTCCCCTCTGCAGGTAGGTTCAAGGCCGTGGCCCCTGGCCTGGCAGTCATCCAAAGGGGCACGCATACATGGGAGCAACGGTGTGTGTGTGTATGTGTGTGTGAGTGTGAGTTTGTGTTTTATTTCACATGTACTATGTTCCTGGCAGTGTCCTAAGTGCTTCATAAATATTAACCAGTTTAATCCTCATATCAACCTTGTGGGGAAGGTACCATTACTATCCCCATTTCACAGATAAGGAAACCGGGGCACAGAAAGCTCAAACAGTTAGTTCAAGGTTATGCAGCTTCAAAAGAACAACTGCACATTTGTCCGAGGTCAGATTCGGTGTGTCTATGCATCAGAGGACATTTTCCAGAATTTCCTTTTAAGTGGGTCGGTCAGTGGCGCCTGGGTGGCTCAGTCGTTAAGCGTCTGCCTTCAGCTCAGGTCATGATCCCAGGGTCCTGGGATCAAGCCCCGCATCGGGCTCCCTGCTCGGCGGGAAGCCTGCTTCTCCCTCTCCCACTCCCCCTGTTTGTGTTCCCTCTCTCGCTTTGTCTCTCTCTGTCAAATAAATAAAATCTTTAAAAAAAAAAAAGGAGGGGGGTCGGTCAACTTGGGGCAGGATCACTGTTTCATCACCCATGTAGAAACTCTTATTTCCTGATAAGTACTTGGTCTGATGGCCACTGTCTTCTACTAAACTGCCCTGAATGCTGTCACTGGGGAGAAATCTAAAAATTAGGCACAGGGCATCGGTGCCGCACTCCATCTGATTGGGAAGACAAAGATCCTGACCTTGGGCAGCTCCAAATCAGACAGGGAAGCGAGGCCAACAGACCAAATAGGACCAGCACTGCGTGAAGGCTTTCAGGAGGGCGGATGGGGCAAAGCTGAGCCTGGTTCTCCCAGTCCTGGGATGGTCAGGACCCTGGAAGAGCCACAGAAGGAACTGCCATTGGTGGCAGGTTTCCTTCCTGCTTTGTCTGAATGGGGAAACGTGTGCAGTGGAGAAGACCACAGGGTAGACCGACCTGGGTTCAAGTCCCAGCTTCTCCATGGACTCTGTGAGACCTTGGGAAGGTCACTGCTGCTCTCTGGCCACCTGTAAAATGGGAGGAGAGGGAAGATGGTCCCCAAGGGTCTTCTCACGCTTTGACATGCTTTGCAGAGTCTGTGCCAAACATCGTGGGACCTGGTCTAGGCCCAGGGAAGTCGGGCTGGGTGACAGGGAGCTCTCTACACAGCCACGCAAGAAACATCATCATCATCCACTTTCCCGGGTGCTGCTGGGCTTCCCACCCGCGAGCACCTCCCCCTGCAGTGGGGTCTCATGCTTATTCTGTTTCCCGAGACATGGGGCTGGGAGTAGAGGAACCATTCGCAGAGAAGGAGTGAGGTGATGGAAAGAAGGAATGAGGCAGTGCCAGGATGACCTAATCACCTCCCCAGCCCTGAGGGCTTCCCCACCTGTGGTCATCCCTGGAGCTAGGAATTTGGGTTAAATGCATAAGGAAGGCTTCAGGTGGGGGAGGAGTCTTTCCTGAGTCAAAGGGATCCAGTGTCCAGAAACCCCGAGGATGGTGGGAGAGAGGTAAGCCTTACTTAATTCATAAGTAGTCATTCTCTCCAGCTTGCATTTGAAGGCTGCCTTTTACCCAGGCAAAGTGCTTTTCATGAGTTTTCAGCAATGGGTCCAAATCTCCAAAGAGACTTTTCTGGTTCCTGGCCAGGCTAGGTGTCTCCAGCCCGAGACAGTTACCCCAGCCCTTGACATCCTGGGGAGGAGACAGACTGGAAGTGACTGAATCAGTCCAGGGCTTAGAAAACAATCCATTCCGGGTCCTGAAAGTCAGGACCAGATGAGCTGTAAGAGAAAAGGGGTGTCCACTGCACGCCAGCCAGGTCCCTGCTTGTCCCAGGAGCTCCAGTGCCACCCCTGGGGAAGCAGGGGACCAAAGAGCGAACCCCTGATCCAAGCCCAGCTCCCATCCTCTTGGCAGGTGGCCTGCGTTACTCTAGGGCTCTAGCTGCCTGTCTCCAGCCTTCCTGGAAAAGGAGACCCCGTCCTCCTCCCTCTTCCCAGACTGCCAGAGAAAGGGCCCCTCTTCAGCTTTCTGTATCCCTCACACACTGTGTCCTAGGCTCTGTGCCAGGTGCTGGGCACACAGGGATGTGAAGATGGTCTAATGACTGTCACCCTCTCCACTAGCAAGCATCTCTTCCTCTCAGCAGAGCTGAGCAAGCCCTTTGGGGGCTCAGGTTAAGGCCAGAAAATGAGGCGACTTTTTGGCCAACATCACAAAGCCTGATGGAAAAATGAGAACTACAATCCAGAGCCCTTGGCCCAGACTTTCGCCCCATCAGCTCAAGGATGAAAATGTCTTTGCCCAGAGGAGTGGCCTCCACCCCAGGCCACATGCCATGTTCCACGTGGGAGGCCCAGGCTGTGGGGTAGGGTAGATCCAGGGCAATGTAGGGAGTCTGGGGGGAAGGACAGCAGCAGCAAGAGTGGGGGTTCCAGGGAAGCACTCCCACCCTGCCTATGGGGTGCCCACCGTGAGTTCCTCAGCTGTCCGCTCCTGTCTGTGTTGGAGACGTTTTCTAAATGGAACAGAACCCATGCTCTGGAGTCAGACTCCTTGGGTTCAAATCCTACCTCTGCCACTTCCTGTGTGACCTTGGACAAGTCACTCACCCTCCATGAGTCTGTTTCCTCATCCGTAGAGTGGGGATAAATCATAGTCACTTCATACAGCGGATGCAAAGAGTAAGTGAGATTTTGGCTGCAGTGTTTGAGCCTTTGAGCCAGGTGACCTGGGTTCAAGTTCTGGCTCTGTCTCTGACATCCTCGCTGGTGAGCTTGGGCAAACTGTCTCCGTGCCTCGGTGTCTTCATCTGTAAAATGGTGACTGCACCGGTTCTTACTTGGTGTGGCTTCAGCGAGGATTAAATGAGTTAATACACAAACGTGCTGAGCACAGAGCCAGGAACGCAGTAGGCAGAACATTAGCTATGAATGACTGTGTCTAGGCACTGTGTGGTGTAGGGAATGCACCAGGGCCGCATGCCGGCACAGAGACAAGTGGCATGATGCTGGTGTCGCTCAGGCTGCCTGCCCTGTCCCATCTCCAGCCTCAGCCTCCCCTGCAGCTCTAACAATGAACTCTCTGCTTCTCCAGGATGGTGGCATTCACCTCCAGCTCCAGGAGGTGAAGAGGGGAAAAGCGAGCCAGTTCTTTGGGCTGATGGGGAAGCAGGTGAGAGGTGAGTGACAAAGGTGGATGCTGTCCAGCAAGGAGTGGTCCTGAGCGGGTTCAGTGACACCAAGCAGAGGCCCAGCTTCAAGCCCAGGCCCCCAGGGGCTGGTAGGGGTCGCCCGTGCCATAGAGTGTCCATAGGAATGATTGTCAAACCCCGACACTTTGGAGAGTTTCTTTGCTAGGCTACAGGCGTTAAACTCGGGGCTGGCTCGGGCATGCGCGGGTGCAGTCACCCTAAGCCTGAGAGCAATGCCTCCCGCCCTGCTGGTGCCCTTGCCATCCATACTAGGGATGACTCCGGAGACAGGTGGTGAAGTTGGGCATCAGCGTCTAGATGGGAGCCAAGCCACTGGCCAAGCTTTCTAGTCGATTCTGTTTGGCTCAGATAGAATTATTAAAATGAACTCATGTTCCCTGAGGGTACTCTTAATGCGGGAGTCATGTCCTAGGGGAACAGGGAGCAAATAGTCTGGACAGAGGGTAGTATTCTCCTTTTCATTGTCAACATTATATGTATCTCTATATCTATCTACACATTTTTTTTTAAAGATTTTATTTATTTATTTGAGACAGAGAGAATGAGAGACAGAGAGCGTGAGAGGGAGGAGGGTCAGAGGGAGAAGCAGACTCCCTGCTGAGCAGGGAGCCCGATGCGGGACTCGATCCAGGGACTCGATCCAGGGACTCGATCCAGGGACTCCAGGATCATGACCTGAGCCGAAGGCAGTCGCTTAACCAACTGAGCCACCCAGGCGCCCTCTATCTACACATTTAAGTGGTGTCGGTGAGGGTCTGAGGAAACTGGCACTTTTATATCCTGTCAAGGACACGTTGGCATTCTCCATCAAAGTTGGAAGTACGCACACCTTTTACCAGTAGTCTCACTTCAGAACATGTACTAAATAGAAATGCTATTGATGCATGAGCCTTGAGATATTTGTATCAGAGTATTTATTGCCAACTTGTTTGTAATAGCAAGAATTTGGAAATAACATAAAAACCATCAGTAGGGGGCGCCTGGGTGGCTCAGTCGTTCAGCGCCTGCCTTTGGCTCAGGTCATGGTCCCAGGGTCCTGGGATCGAGCCCCGCATATCGCGCTCCCTGCTCGGCGGGAAGCCTGCTTCTCCCTCCCCCACCCGCCCTGCTTGCGTTACCTCTTTCGCTGTGTCTCTGTCTGTCAAATAAATAAAATCTTAAAAACAAAACATCAGTAGGTAAGGTGCCTAGGTGGCACAGTCACTAAGTATCTGACTCTTGGTTTCAGCTCAGGTCATGATCTCAGGGTCCTGGGATTGAGTCCCACATCAGGCTCTAAGCTCAGTGCAGAGTCTGCGTGAGATTCTCTCTCTCTCCCTCTCCCTCTGCCCCTCCCACCCCTGTTCTCTCACTTGCTCTCTCAAACAAACAAATAAATAAATCTTAAAAAAAAAAATCAATAGGTGAATGGTCAAAATATATTAGGCACACCCATAGCTTTTGTGGCCATTAAAAAGGATGAGATAGATCTGTGGGAAGATATGGAAAGATCTCCAAGATATCAGTTAAGTGGAAGAAGCAAGTTATATAATAATATGCATGATAGGAGCCTACTTGTTTTTTTGTTTTTTGTTTTTAAACTTCATACTTAGGGGTGCCTGGGTGGCTCAGTTGATTGAGCATCTGACTCTTGATTTCAGCTCAGGTCGTGATCTCAGGGTCGTGAGATCGAGCCCTCAGTGGGGCTCCACCCTCAGTGGTGAGTCTGTTTGAGATTCTCTCTCTCCCTCTCCCTCTGCCCCTCCTCCTGCTTGCATTCTCTGTCTCTCTCTAAAACAGATAAATAAATCTTTAAAAAACAATTTTAAAAACTCCACACTTACACACATATATATATGCAAATACATAGGGAAATTTCTAGAAGGATAAATACAAACTGTCAACAGTGGTTACATCTAGGGATGATGCCTGAGTGGCTCAGTTGGTTAAGTGGCTGCCTTCGGTTTGGGTCATGATCCCAGGGCCCTGGGATCAAGTCCCGCGTCGGGCTTCTTGCTCAGCCTGTTTCCCCCTCTCCCTCTGCCCCTCCCCTCTGCTTGTGCTTGTGCGCTCTGTCAAATAAATAAATAAAATCTTAAAAAAAAACAAACAAAAAACAAACAGTGGTTACATCTAGGCTGGGAAGTGGAAGTGAGGGAGAGAGAGTGAAAGGGACTTTAATTTTTACTGTACAAACCTCTCATTACTTGATTCTTTTTATAGTGGGCATGTACTTAAAGACTGCTTTTGTAATAAAAAAACATATGCACATAAAAACAGAAAACCGACTTATGACCAAACACTTCTGGCCTTTGTTTTCTCCTCCACAAAATGTGTTCTGGACTGGGCTGCTTCAAAGTTCTCTTCCAAATCCAACACCCCATGAGGAGCAGGGGATGGGGAGAGAAGAAAAAGATTTATTGAACACCTAGAATGCTCACATATGATGACATCTCACAACAACGTCCCCTTTACCACCAGCGGGAAAACTAAGGTTCAGACAGGTTAAAAACTTTTCCAAGGATGCTCAAGTGGTGCCAGGCACCGGTGACTCCTAAGTCCATGCCCTTCCCAGAAGTCCACACTGTCTCCTCCCTTGAGCAGCCACGTGGCCCGGCCATATGAGGACAATGGGAAGGGACTGGAATTCTGCTGACTACCCACCAAAGGCACTGAACCCCAAAGAGCCATGAGCCCTTCCTGTCTCACCAAACCCCAGGGGGAAGCAGTGCAGCCCGCATTCCTTCTTTCTCTTTCCCCCCAGGAATACCTCCTATCCAGCCAGACAGAACAGGTAAGCCTTGTCCACACCTTCCCCTCAGCATGCTTCCTGGGGAGGGCTGAGTTGGCCTGGCCGCTAACAAGTCAGGGAGGTGGGGGAGATGCTCTGGCTGGGGGCATGCCAGGCTGGCCTTGGAGGGGGTGGGGCCAGCACGGTTTGGCCACACACCAGGCTTCCTGGTTGTCTCCTCAGAGAGGTGGTCCGGGCACGTGGCGGGGGGGCGGGGTAGTTGCAGGGATAAGGAGGAGACCGGATGAATCTAGTTCTGCTAAAGTTTCAAAATTACTTTGGGTCTAAAGCCTGGGATTGGAAAAAACTAACCAATCCATTCCCCACACTGCACCTAGAAGGATCTGAAAAGTGCAAATATGAGCAGCCAGTACCCTGCCCAAAATCCTTGGTGAAAAGGGGAAAAAAAAAAAAAAAGTCAAAAGAAAACCAACCAGCCCTTACCCACCACACCCTCAGTACTCTCTCAGGATCAAGTCCAATACTCTGACGCCTCACCACATCCTCTGGGGCTGCTCTCACTGACTTGACTCCAGGCCCCACCTCTTCTTCCCCGACTGCCTGCCCTACCCAGACAGAGCTGGTCTCCGTGGCCTGGGCGCCATGCTGTCCTTGGCGCCCTGCCCTGCCCTGCACTGCCGGGTCACGTGGCCGGTGTCCTCAGAGCAGAACCCCTCCCACCATGGGCAGCAGCAGGTGGGCCACCTCCTCTGTACCCACAGCACGAGCAGTTTCTGTCTATGAGAGGCACCCACTAGGTATCTATGGAAGGGAGGGCAAAAGGGAGGGAGAATGAAGGAGAAAGAGGTGGGAATCAATGAATGAATCAGTAAATGAACGAACCAATCCACGGTTTTTCCTCACCTCCCAGGATGCTTGAGGAATGACTGCCTTTACGAGGCCCCAGCTCTGGTCCTGGCCCTGCCCTGCCCTTCTTGGGTCCGAGGACAGCCTTACTCTGCTGCCTTCTTTCTTCTCTATCTCTTCTAGCTCCACCACCAGAGCATCCGCAAGGACAAATGGTGCAGGGCCTCCTGGGCAGGGCGGGACCATCTACAGAAGGTAGGTGAGAGCCTCTGGTGGATTGCAAGGGCATCATGAGAAAGTGACCAGATGCCTCGCTGCCAGTCTCCATGGTGGGGGCCAGGCAGACGAACAGACGGAGCAGCCTGCCCACAAGCCATTGGGCAGATGTCCCATAGAAGAGAGCAGCTGAGGCGTAGGGAGGTGGTCCCTTTGATGATCCAGGCTTGAGACAGCCAGAGTCCAGAAGCTGTACCCTCTCCACCCCCAGCATGCCCAAGCACACTCTACACCCCGCCTTCTCAGGTCCAGCTGAAGCCACAGAGTATCATGTGTGTTTTTTCAGACCCTGGAACATCCCCCTTATTCCCACAGTGATCAATGATTGTTAGGAAGTCATGCCTTAGTCTTGAGATATTTCCTTTCCTCAGCAATCGTAAGTGTGAATCACTCTGCGAGGGGTCACACCGTAAGCAGTTAGCAGCTAACACCTTCTGGCAGGGGCCACAACCCCAACGGGCCCAAGGGTACACTCAATAAATGAATAAACAGGCATGAAGGTAGATAAGCGACGCAGGCGGGGGAAAGATCAGAAGCTCAAGCCAGCGGCACGGGAGGGGGTCAGAGATACCGAGCTCCAGTCGGCCTTCGCTAATGCCCGATCTCTTCCCCCGGAGCGCATCCTCTAGCAGGATGCCTTTCTAGCTTCCCTGATCGAACACCTGCTCTTTCCAACATAAGCACTTGGGAATAAAGATGGCAAGTCCTCTCTTTCCCCCCAGGGTTCTTTTCTAAGTGTCTGAGCCATTCCATTCTAAGGGCCATGGAAGTCACCTCAGTACCCAAATGGAGATGAATGTCCCTCCACACACAGTGTGGGCAGGAATCCCATTTCTCAGGGATGGAAAGCAGCTTGCCTGAAGTCACACAGTGAGCCAAGGACAGCCGGGGCTAAAGCTGGGTCTGCCGTTACCTAGTCCACGGCACCTTCCGCGTCTCTAGGAGGGCCTTTGGGCTTGCAAGTACTAGATCGCCACTTCCCTCCTTTTAGAGAGAATAGCTGAAGGCTGGCTCGTCCATGCTCTGGAGGCGCTTCCGATTGAGAACAGGAAGATATGGCAGATGAACTTGTAATTTGCCCCAGATAGCTACAGCCCGAGTTAGGGAAATGGAGGGCCCAGGGAGGAGTGACTAGGGAAGTCCCCCCAAGGGTGGAGGAGACAGACAAGACTCCTGAGACCACTGTCACGTACAGAACTCTTCCCAGGCAGAGAGGACGAGGAGCATGGGTCAGAGTGAGCACCCCCACCGCACACTTCCCGGAGGACGAACCCGCCGTCTCCTTCCCTGGACAATGCAGCTGACAGTCCGGCCAGGCCAACTCTCTTCTGTGCGTGTCCCCTGCGCCCGACACTGGTGTGTCCCGCCCGGCCTCACTGAACTCACTGCGCTTCCTTCTAGGACTCTCGGTCCTAAGCAATGGTGATGCACAAATGCACTGTTGCTGCAGTTGTGAGCTGAAGTGACCCTGCCCTCCCTCAGTGCTCAGTCCCCATCTCACTGCTAAGCGGGGCTGTGTCCCCCCCTGCTATGTCTCCTGTGCCTGGAACACCGTAGGGGCTCAATAAACGGACAAACAGCGAATAGCTTCTTCTCTGGTACAGGGCAAAGGGCAGGAACGGTCTGGGTGCTACACCCTGCCTAGCGGCCTGCAGCGCAGCAGGCCGGGGCGGGGGGCACTTTTCCAGAACTGCAAAGGGAAATAGTAAACAGCCCTGGTCCCCACGCTTGGGTGGGAAAACAGGCTTGGGACACAGGTGAGGAGGACAGCCCCCACCTGAAAGCAGACGCCTTCTCCCTACTCAGAGTCCTCATCTCAACGCCCCAAATCCCTGTGTCTTCTGACCTGGAGAATTGGGTCCCAGGTCCTTCCTCAATTCTCATGCATGAAGTGGCTCTTCAACTCACTGCTTTGCTTTTGGGACACAGGCAGTTAGTCATGCTCTGAGCACTGGGAAGAGCTCTAGGGGCACGAAGCACTTCCTGCCCTCAGGGAGCCCCCCGTCTGATGGGGAGACCACTGTCACTGTCCCTGTGGTTAATGGGGCAGGATGCAGAGAACCCCAGGATGCTTAGAGAGAGGCACCTCAGCCAGAATGAAATCGTGGAGGGCAAAGCTGGTCATGAGCACGGAGGGCTGCGTAAAGGGAACGAGCTGGGAGTGGGGTGGGCTCAGCAGTAGAGGACAATTAGTGAATTTGCTAGGCTACATAACATTTAGCCTCTGTGTCCCTCTCTCCACAAAGAATGGGTTAGATGTTTTTTGGGGGGACGTCTGATCCTTTGGGAGTGGGTGGCCAGGCTGTTTTAGAAGGAGAGGAAGTGGCCCTGGAGAAGGCATGCCCTTCACCTGGGCGCCGGGGAAGCGTTTAGCAACAGCAGAGACCACTAAGGAGTGGCCAGGTGTCCGCACAGCCAGCAAAATCCCTGTTTGCCCTGTAATGAAATAGCCTCTATGTTAAGACAGACAGTTTGTCATGAGCCCTGAATAAACCTCAGGCCTCCCCGGTCTTCCTTCTCCCACCTTACCCAGGCCCAGCGCGCCGCCCGGGGGTGGGGGCGGTGCGCGCCCTCTCCAGACACCACGACAGAATCCCCCAATGAACGCACTTATTCCATACATTCCCAAACCCCTCACTCCCGGGGCACCCCCGGCGCCTTCCCCAACTCACCCCACCTGGTGCTGTGGGCCCAAGAGGCGGTTCACTGTCATAGCCAAACTTGAAGGATCTGTGAAGATTGAAGATTTTCTTCTTGTGTTTGAAGTTTGGGACATTTAAGAGAAACTGGGGTCACCAAAAATTTGGTGAGTTTCCTCTCTGTGCGGGCACTTTGCCAGGAACTCAGATGGCACTGGGAGGATTGAAGAAGCGGGAGACACATTTGTCCTTGAAGACCTAATGACCTCACAGGGGGGCTGAGATGTCCAAAGCCCACGCCCTGCTCTCCTTGCTCTCCTTGCTCAAACCCACCAAGTTCCCTCAAGCTTCTGGTTTCTGCACATGCCATTCTGGGCAAGTCTTACTCCAAGGTCAATGTCTCTGTAACGCCTTCCCCAGCCGGGAACTACCCATTCACTCCCTCCTGAGTTCCCCGAGCCCCTTGCACGTTCCCCCATGACAACACTTAACATTAGATGTTCTGATTCACAGTTTCTCCCAAGTACACGGACACATCCCATTTATCTTTATCCCAGTGCCAGCACTAGTGCTTGGCCCCTGAGAGGTCCTTGGAGAGTGTTTGACAAGACTCCTACTTCCTGTCCTTGGGGAGTCTGTCTCTAGAGAGCCATACTTAATGCAAGTACCCGAAATAAATAATAGCAGCTACCACTTATGGAATGTGTATCCTGCAGTTCTCAAACTCACCGCGTCCCACGGCCGAACCCTTCACCTACTGCCCCAAAGCCACTCCCCACCCCGTGGTGGGCATCCCCACAAACGGCACCTCCAAGTACCCTGCTGCTGGGAATTACCCTCCACTCTCCGCTCCCCACATGGAATATATATCCCCTAGTTCTTGGTTTCTCCAAAACCATCTCAAATTCCTTCCCCCCTCCACTACCACTGTTAATACAAACCATAGTCTGCCGTTGCCCGGGGGGAGGCAGCCCCAAGTGACTTCCTTGCTTCCCATCTTACTGCCAGACCTGACCCATCCATTCTCCACCAGGAGCATGACCTCTTAAAATGAGAAATCAGGTCATGCCATCCCCTGCTGGCCATGGTTCAGCTTCTTGGGATAAACCTGACAGTCTCCTGAAGGCCTCCAAGGCCCTGTGTTCTCAGGTTCTTCCCGCTCCCCCCGCCCCCCACACCCAAGCCAGGCTTTCTCGCAGGCCCTCACACACAGCAAGGGGCTGCTTACACTGGGGTCTGTAGCTAGGCACTCCCCACTGTCTGAGCGCTGCCCCCATCCCTCCACTCCTCCTTGGACTAATTCCTCATTGTTCAGGCCCTGGGATAAAGGCCCTTTCTCAGACAGGGCTCCTTCTAGCTCTGCTCACACACCTTGTCCTTTTCCCTTCATGGCACTGATCACAATGAGAAATCATATGTATTAATATCGGTCTCCTCCAGAATGCAAGGTCCACATCTTTTTTGTACAAATGAGTATTGGTGTACAAATCAGGCATTCCGCAAGACAATTTTCCCTTCACAATCACTGTCCTCACTCTGCAGATGAGGATAAGCCATGTGCTCCAAGTTACACAGGAAATGGCAAAGCCAGGATTTGAGCCAAGGTGCCTTCACACCAAACACCCAACCCCTCCCCACCTTACTTGGTCTATGCCATCCATAATCATACAGACAAGTCCCGGGCAGAATTAAGACTTCACAAGGAATTCCTGGACGTTTTCAACTGGTAAGAAAGAAACCCAAATATAAGCCTCCAGTGTACCAGTCTCTCAGGAAATGTTACTGTGTCTTCCCTCTAGGAAAACCCCCAGAGGGAGGAGGTTTTGAGCAGCTCTGATGTCAAGAAACATACTGATACTTTTTAACTGTCTTCCAAGTTTATACGACTACAGTATCCTTTTTGCCCATACTATTGTGTTCAATGCAATATATTGTGCCGCGGGGGGGCGGCTGTTGAAGTGGTGGATTTCCCAGTAAAAACAGGAAAGGGGAAACAGACTAATCCAGTTGCACTTTGAGACTAGGTGTCGGGTAATGATGAAAGCTACGTAGGCTGAGTCAGTTTATGGACAGACTTGAAAGCCAGGATCTGTGACCTTAATCCAAGCCCCGTGGATGAGCAGGGAAGTGACAAGCCAGGTCTTAAGAGCAGGATATTCTTCCTTTTTCCTGATCCACTTCTGTAAGGAGGTAGCTAAGATTCCCAGGCCAGGCAGGGACTTCAGGAGCAATTTGACTGACAGCGAGACAAGCTGAATGGCCAAACAGGGCTCAAACTGGCTCCCAGGCTCCCAGGGTGCCACTGTACGGAATAGGAATAGCGCCCCCTGGAGTTACACAGGGTGGCTGCCCTCGCCAGGCACATCTAGTTCCCAATCACAGGCAATCGGCTGACGGAACCTCTGAGGTCAAACCAAATTCGTTTTCATTTCAGAAGTTCTCTTCCTGCATTTACCCACTGCTGTGTATCGAACCGTGCCAAAACAACGAATGGCTTACAGCAGTCTTTCGCAGTTCCCGAGGTTGGCAGGACTCGGCTGCATTTCTTTGGCTTCTCGCGGCGGCAGCAGGGGTCACGACTGAGGCTGCACTCAGCCGGGAGGGGGCGGGCATTTGGGTGCTAAAGGCTGCACCTTCTTGGCCCTACCCTGCGTGGTCTCTCTTATGCGGCCCTCACCATTGACGGTAGCTCAAGCTTCTGGTCTGGAAATATTTCTGCTGGTTTCCAACAGCCAAAGTGGAAGCTGCCAGAACATTACTTCTGCCACGCTCGATTAGTCAAAATAATGAAAAGTCCAGCCCACACTCAAGAAGGAAAAATCTCTTATTGGAAGAACACATACCCAGGAATGGCAGAAATTGCTGGTGGTCAGCTCTGGAGATGATCTACCACACCAGGTTTGTGTGTATGTGAGACAAGAGTGTAGGTTTCTAATGACTTCGGAATAAATACACAGTGAGCTGTTCCCAGAAACGAGCACCCGGTTAAGAAAGAGCAGCTTCTTGGAAAGAACCGGACTTGTCAAGGAAAAAGGTGTTTATAGCTCACGGAGAACATCTGGGAGGAGCTACGGAGCTGATGTTGCGCAACAGGCAGGTTATTTTCTCCACTCCTGTGCACAAATAAACGTGCCCCCCAGCCCCCAAGTGGTAGCAGCATGACCCGCGTGGACAGGGATTGCACAAGACAGAAGAGACGAACGAGCATCTGGGACATTTGTCACCACCGGGCAGTCCTTTGTTTCGTTCTTGGTGACACGCATTGGCATTTTGTTGGAAGACGCCACAAAGGAAGTGGGCAATTATAGTGCTCCCAGCAGCAGGAAACAGTCTGGAAGACGAGGTCATAAAAGTCTGTAGCAGAAAGTTCTGGGGCAAAAACCCATGGGTCTAGTACTAGCATTCCAGGATCCCAGCGAAGAGCAAAAGAGTTTTTAGAATTCCTAGCACACAGCACATATTTAGCAAAGGAGTTTTCACTTTATTCTAATAACGTGCAGAACCCTGGGCCACATTTTGTATATACCTGCACTTGTGAGGCATGGGAGGAAACAGAGCGCCACAGCGAGCCAGGCCTGCTCCCTTGGTGGTCACTGCTTCACTCAATGGGACCTGTTATTTGAGCCTGCACACGCCAGCCCGTTTAGGGCCTTGGGGTGAGTGAAGGCAGAGTTAATACCTGCTCAAGGAGGCTTTCTGTTCCGAACCAAGGTTTCTTTCTTTCCTTCTCTTAAAGATTTTATGTATTCACTTGAGA